AAAGAAAGAAAGAAAGAAAGAAAGAAAGAAAAGAAAAGAAAAAGAAACCACAAGCAGGTTCCAAGCAGAGCAATACCATGGTCCACCTGACATTACACATGAAAACCTCTGGGCCTGTTTCATAGGCAGCCTCCCTTAGGCCACCTTGACCCAAACCTGAAATCCTCTCTCCAGCCCCCAGTTACCCAACCCAGTTAATTCAGCCTCTTGGCTTTCCAGCTAGCCTTCCTCACCTTTCTCACCAGCCTAGCTTCGTCCCAGCCCTGCCCTCCACTTCCAAACCTCCAGGCCCTGCCCCTCACCTACCCTCCACACAGCAGCCAGGCAAGCAGTCTCCGGAACAGAAGCCAGATCAGACCCATCATTGAAGCCCTCGCTGCTCCATGCCACCTTAACGTAACACCCTACACTCTGCCCCAGCCCAGGCCCCATCCACAAACCTGGGTCTCTCATGGCTGCTCCCCCTCAGTATTTGAGGTTATCTCTGCTCACAGCTCTGCCTCATCTCTACCCACTGGGCCACCACTTTGGCTTTGTACTTTCTGACTGTGTGACCTTAGGTAAGTGACTTAACTTCTCTGTGTCTATTCCTTCAGTTTCCCATCTGTAAAATGTAGATGATAATAAGGTAGTTGTGAGAATACAACAAATTTACTTCATTGTAACAGCTTCACAGGCAGATTCTTTATCCTCACCTTCCAGGCAGGAAAGCTGAGGCCCAGAGAGGAGAGGTGACTTGCCCAAGGTATCACAGCTAGGCCTGCTACAGCCAGGCCTTCTGACTTCCTTGCCAGTGCTCCCACCCACACCCCACTGCCCACACCCTCAAGAGCCTAGCGCTGCAGTGCAAGGGCACCCACCACACCAGTGAGCTCGGTGGCACATGGGTGGAGGGCAGTGCCACTGAGTCCTGCTGAACACAAGTGAAAGGGCCTGGCAGCTTGACCCAAGGCCTCAGGAGCAGAGACTGCAGAGGCCACAGCTTTGGTGAGATGGGAAAAATGACTTGGCATGGCCCAGGGGCACAGATGCCATCCTGGGAGGGGCACTAGCAGCTCCCTTCTCGGGTAGGGGCAGCCCCACCCAGGAACCTTGTCAGCTTTGGAATGTTGAATTCTGTTTCCCAGGGCCAGCTCCCAGGCTCTCAACAGAGGAGATCCCCTCCCAGGCGCCAAGGACTCGCTCGCTATTGGCCCTCCCTGCCTCTCCTGGCAGGTCAGCCTCCTTGTGTGGAACTGGGGTGGAGAGAGGGCTGTGACCCACCTCACTTTGCAGAAGCCTAAGTTGAGGCACCTGATCCAGGTACTACAGGAAGGGAAAGGAGGCCGGGGAGGGAGCCTGGCGGCTCCCTTCGCGCCAGAATCTCCTCCCCACCGGCTAAACCAGGAGTGTTTGGCACGCATCCCATATCCCAGGGTAGGAAGGAGGCTGGGCGACAGAGGGGGCGACCTACACCTAGCGCGCCCGTGGGGTCTTCAAGGAAACACCTTCTCTTTCTCCACCGGGCCTCAGGATTACTCAGGGAAACTCCCCCCTTCTCCAACCCCCACCTCGCGCTGTAGCTGGGACCAGCCCCCAGAAATCCGGGCCTCTCTGTAGCTATCTCGGGTGGTCCTGGAAGTGGGCGTGGGGGTGGCAGAAGTGGGGGATGGTCCCGGGCTCCAAACTCTTGGGGCAGGGAGTGGTCTGACCCCTCAGAAGACTGAACCTCCCTCTCCCATCACCCCCCAGAACAGGGCAAGGGGCAGACCCCATGCTCACCCAGAAGACAATGTTGAAGCCAAACAGGAAGTATTTCCCACAGCAGCCGACCTCGGGTTCCTGGAAGTGATGGTGCTTGCTGGGCATGGTAGCGGCCACCTGCCGGCCCGGAAACCGGAGCCGGGAGCCAGGCCCAGCGCCCCGCGGGCAGCCCTGGGCTAGAGCCGCCCGGGGCCTAGCCCGGCGGCTGCGGCTTCATGGCCGCGGCCACACAGAGCGCCAGTGGGGCCCCGCCCGCCCCTCAGGGACCGCCCTCGGCACCCGGACCGCCTAGCCCTGAGCCCGGCGCTGTTCCCTCCAAGCCCCGCCTCTGGACCGGGCTCCGCCTCTGCCCCAGGCTCCGCCCCCTCAGCCCTACCTTCACCCCCGTAGCCCAATTCAGTCCCGTTTGACCCCGCCTTTGGACAGGGCTCCGCCCCCAGCTCCGCCCCCGCAGCCGAACTCGGACCTCCTCGCCCACGCAGCCCCAGCGTTTCCCAGCGTCCTTCAGATGCGCCCGAGACGCTGGCTGATGGTGTCAGAGGCTACTGGCGTGAAGAAGCGGTAGCTCCCGGTGCTCGGCACCAGCGCCATCCCAATCCCCAGCCTGCTGTTGGAGCCCATCCCAGGGAGAAGAGTAACTGCTGCTCCGGTGAACGGATGGGGAAGCTGGTCCGGATTGAGTTTTTAAACACGTGCAGGACGTTTTGTCATAGTGGAGTCGCAGCAGACTCACCTTCACCCCGCAGAAATTCAGCTGTACTAATCCTGACTCAAAACTCAGACTAAGCGAGGGCCTGGGGCTTGTGCCACGCCTGCTGCGCCCTGCCAGGGGCATATGCCCCAACACCTGGCTCAAGCCCCCTTGGTGGCTGAGGTTCCCCAGCCGTACCCCCTGTCCCCCATACCTGCCTGGGTCCTGGTCAGACTCCTTGGTACCTAATGATCTCACATGAGCCCCTACAAGGCAGGACAGGGGCACAGCAATGTTCGGGGATACCTGAATCTTATTCAAGTTTAGAGCGTTTTAAAAATAATTCCAACGTTGTTCAGAAGTATTTATTTAGAACAGGAACAGAAAGATGCTTAAGCTTTATTATCAAGTTTATCCACCATGATGAGGCTTAGCCCAGCATTCCCCCACCTCCACTTCAGTCTGGCCCTGAGGCAGGCAAGGCCCAGACAGCCCTGGCCACAGCTGGTGAGAAGGGGAGCAGCCCTGCAAGCCTCTCTCAGTCCTCAGCAACCCACACATCCTTCTGTACAAATGATGTTGTTCACCCTCTAGCCCTCAGCCCTTGGGGTGGGCAGCCCCACTTCATGGACCCACCCACAGCTGGTGGAGGGAGGGGATAGCATCCAGGGTGAGCTCTGAAGCTACAGAGCTGATGAGGTTTTTAAGCAGAGTGACCCCAACTCCTGTCCCTGAAGTCCAGCTCTCAGAGTGTCTGTACCCTGGAGCCCCCCACCCACGGAAGAGCGCTGGACCATAGGCTTTTCCGCCTGCCATAGTGCCCTCCTTCCCCCGTGACTCAAACCATCGGAAGGAGTTTCCTCCACCCTGCTGCTAGATTCTCAGACTGCCAGCACTATCCCCACCTGGCCCCTAGGCCAGACTCATGTTAAAGAGTGTGCATTCCTGTTCACTGGAAGAGAGATAAGAACCAAGCTGTGTGATTCCCCAGTCCTGCCCCAGCCCCATCCCCCAAAGTTATAAGGCTCCTGTGGTGGCTGTCCCATTACACAGGAGGGGTGCCAAGACCCCCCTCACACCACAAACTTGTTCTTGGCTAGAGAGTTGCTCTTGGTGGCTGTGTCTGCATGGGCCTGGTACCCAATGATGGTCTTTGGGGAGAGGCCCAGGCGCTCTTTGTATACACGCCTGCAGGTGCGGGGAACACAGAGGAAAAGAGACACACAGGTAGTCATCAGAGGGTCCTAGAGATAATTTAGGGCACCAGACTCCTACCCTCATTCTGGCCACAGCCACTCGTGTTGTGTGTCTTATGCATGTGGAAACCCAAAATAGGACTCCTTAATGCAATAGGAGAGCTGCACTGCAGTAATAGAAAGGGTTGAAAATCTGAACGCTAGACCCTTCCATACAGGTGGGCAAGGCAGAAGGGAGAGAGGCTATGGAGACTTCCAGAGGTCTCCTTTGTAGGCCAAGTCACCTCCACCCACCTTCCCTCTAGAAGAGACCCAGCCCCCACCCTGTGCCAGAGACTCTCCTCACCCAATGTGCAGCACGCCTGCCTGGTTTTCCGCCTCCCTCGTCCACACGGCGATCTTGTCCCCCTTGGTGCGGATATTGATGACGGCCCCACACACATCCCTGCTGTGCTCCTCGAAGCTCTCCCCGATCAGACACAGCAGCTGGGCCCGAAGTAGGGGGTTGTGAGATCACCAGCTGCGACATAGGGACTGCCCGACCATCCTTGAGACCACTGCCACCATGAGGCCCACACAGCCCCTCTTTCCCTGAGGACCCTCCCCTCTCCAACTCACTGTCTCCAGCCACAGCCGGTCCAGCTCAATGTGGCGCTGCTGCTTGGCCAGGCTGACCAGCCAACGGCCACCCCGCTTATTCCTGCTGTCCTCCCACATGGGCTCGATGCCATCCTGCAAGGCAGATGGCAAGTCAACTGCCTCCCTGTGTTCAAAGGGAAGTGGGGACCCACCTACCCTCCCAGCCTATCCGCCCTCTGCTGAGGCCCTAAGTAGGCCAGATTCTCTTCTCCTCCCCTCAGCGCAAGCAGGTTCCACCCCCAGCCACTCAGCCCTGGACAGATAGCACTGGTCACCTTTTATAGCCTTGTATCTGTGCATTTGTTAAATGCACATATTAAGGAAGCCTGGGGAGGTGGCGGGGTGGGGCAGGTGGCGGGGTGGGGGAGGTGGGGGGGCAAACCCCAATGCCAGCAAGGGGGACATCCCGGGCTTGGCTGCAGGGTTCCCAGGCTGGGCAGAAGTCACCTGGGGAGATCTCTGAACACAGTGTCAGCCCTCCAGGGACAGGTATGGCATCAATGAGTGTCCTCAGGCAATTCTGATGCCCTTCCCTAGTGAAGGAGCCAGGCCAGAAATCTCTTTCCCTCCCTCTTCTCCTTCCTGCCTTGAAGGTCCTCCGAGGTACAGCTAGAGCCTGACTCTGTCCAGACTCCTGTAGAGCATTTCCTCTAGTCAGAAACCGCAACTCTGCTGAGAGGTGGCTCATGGCACCCCACCCCCATTCCTTTGTGAGGGATTAACGCAGCAGAAGCTGGGAGGGATCAGCCCCTGGTCCCTTTGCAGGAGGGAAAGAGAGCAGAGCTTACCTTGAATAGGGCATAGTCACAGCCGGAGGAGAGCTTGCTGGCCAGCTGGATGTGACTGTACAGCCTGGACAGAGCCCCCACCCCATGCCAAAAGTCAAGGCTTTTTAGGGCCTGGTTCCGATTGGGCTCAGTCTTCCCAACTCCTCACCTGACCCCATGGCCTCCAAGCCTTTGCTTACACTGGCCTGCCACCTGAGATTCCACCCCCACTTACCCAAACTCTCAAGACCCACCTTCTCCACAGAGCCTTCCCCGTGCCAACCCCTGGGGAGGGTTTTGGACCCCCGGTGCTCCACCTCCAGCTACAGCTGGGGCCTTCTCACCCTCCCTAGGGCTTGAGCAGCCCTTTTCAGATCCACTGCCTTGAGCACCCGGGACTTCAAGACAAATGAGTCCTCCCTTTGCAGCTGAGACAGGTTCAGAGAGGGGAAGGAGCTCGCCCAGGTCACAAAGCCATTGAGTGTCTGAGTCAGGGTTACCTCCCTGCTCCTCCAGCTCCTTGGGCTCCCTCCCTGAGCCCTAAGAAGGTGATGGGATGGGGGTGGGGGGTGCCTGTGCCCTACACCCCCTGGGCAGAACCCACCAAGCCCCAGGCCTCACCAAGGCTGAAAGGCGCTAGGGAGGGCTGGGCTGGCTCAGCCTGGAGGGAGAGAGCATGGAGCTCAGAGCGCCCCCCACCCCCAACTCCAGCCCCGCTGGGGTCAGACACTTACGCCCAGAAGTCCTCCACAGTGTCCACCTTGGTGACCAGGTGCAGGTTATCCTGCCAGGCCCGGCTGCGGTCATTCTTGAAGAACCACAGAGCCCACCTGGTAGGGGAAGGGGCAGAGGAAGGTAGCCAGGAGGAAGCAGAGAGCCCCTGAGTACACCCCCAGGACACCTGGACTGACAGGGAGGACCCTCCCTTCAAGGGCAAACTGGAAGATGAGATTTGGAGCACAGAATCCCCCCCACTCAGATGATTGAAGTCAGTTGTCCTGAAGGACAGGGGAGTTGGGGAAGGATATGACCCACAGTCTCTGTGGGGTTAGAGCTGGAAGGACCAACAGGGCCCAAGGTTTAGGTCAGCTCTGGCCTCCCACGGATGAAGAGCTGGGACCGAGAGAGGAAGGGGTTGCCCAAGGCCAGGCTGCCAGCACAGAGGCTGGCCTGAAAGCAGGGGGCTGTGTCCCACCTGCACACCTCTGCCTACCTGTTCTGCAGGGGGTGCAGCTCCCGCTTGACTTTCATGGGGCTCCCCACCTGGGCCTTCCCTCTCAGAGACAGTGAAGTCCTCGGAGAGTTTGGAGCCTCTTTTCCCATGGGCGTCCTCTCTGCTACCTTCTTTTCCTTCCGCTCTCGGATTCCACCCTCAGCTTGACTCACCTGAGCAGAAAAAGAAGTCAGGGTAGGCTGTGGGCTCTGGGCTGTGAGCCCTGGACCTGGCTGTCCCCTTGCCCACCCTGCCCATCCCCTGCTCCAGGAAGGGCAGGCAGGGGGACTCACAGAGCCTGCAGTAGCCATGCCCAGCTCAAGCTCCATGGAGGACCCAGCATCTGAGAGGCCCCACCTACCAGCTTTTAACTCACCAGCGCCTGCCCCGGCCCACCTGGGGCAGGGGAGGGGGTGGGGCCATGGTGCAGCGGGTAGAGAGGCCAGCCTGTTTACTTCATCAGCAAGCATTTAGTGAGTGTTGTCTTCGTCTTTGTGCAGGCTTGGGGCTGGTGAAGCAGCTGTGACCAAGCCAATCCAGCCCTACACAGTGGGGGCCAAGACATGAACGTAAGGGTCAATATTTGGAAGGGAAAGCAAGGTCTGCATCCCATGGAGGGTGACCCCTGAATGTAGGCTGTGGGCTGTGAGCTCTGGCCCTGGCTGTCCCCTTGCCCACCCTGCCCATCCCCTGCTCCAGGAGGGGCAGGCAGGGGGACTCACAGGGCCTGCAGTAGCTGGCGTAGACTGCCCTGCAGATGGCAGAAGCAGTGACACTGACAGCCGTGGGCCGTCAGCACCATCCCCATCCTCGCTAGAGCAGGCATTCACCTGGTCTCTGGAAGCATCTGAGTTTGTTTGTTTTAAATAAAATAATATTTTTGACCAGGACTGAAGGGATCTCACTGTGTTGCCAAGGCTGCTCTCGAACTCCTGGGCTCAAGTGATCTCCCATTTCAGCCTCCCAAAGTGCTGGGATTACAGACGTGACCCACCATACCCAGTGGCATCTGAGCTTTTAAAAAATTTAATCATCTGCCAACATTTAGACATTGGGAGATTTTATACCAAGAGTCACATTTTTGGTTTCTCTTGAGAATTTGGAAAGGTCCTCCTGGACCCACGGCCTCACGGTGCCCAGTCCCTTTGGAGGGACACATGAGGCTCCCCACAGCCCCTATCTTACCTCCTGCCCCACCTGAGTATTCTCAGCCTGGCATGAATGGTGAGGGGCAGGGCCACTGCAACACAGCCTGGGTTTCAGTCCTGATTCTACCCTGACTGCAGCCAACCCCAAGCTTCAGAGTCACTTTCCCCATCTGTAAAATGAGAATGTTAATCATACATAACTCAGAAGCTTGTTGAGGGTATTGAATAACATATAACACACAGCACCCATAGGACAAGGCCTGGCTAGTGCTCAGCAGAAGTCAGCTGAGGGCTCCCCCAGGCTGGGGAGGGTGGGACTGGGACAGGAAAGGAAAGCAGGGGAGCTCTGGACACCCTTCCTCAGCCTTCTAAAGGACTTGGCTGAAGACTCTTCAAGTCCTTTAAAGTTTTGCATCCTCCCCTTGGCCACTTTTAGGGTCCCAGACGTGTAAAAGGCCCTGCTCCTCCCCCGCACCTGGGGAGCTCGTGACCATCTGGAGGCTGAATATTTGCTCAACCCACATCCTCAAGCCCTGGTACGTGCGAGGCACAAGGTGAGGTGCTGCTACGATGATGAGCGGAAAACGAGCGAGACCTGTGCTCAGGTTTATGGGATTATGCATCCATCAGACAATCCGTGCCATCACAAACACAGCCCACCCAAGGAAAGGGATTCAGGAATAGGAGGACATAAGGAAGCCTGGGATGCAAGCTGGCGGCTTCAGAGCTGCGGGTCTCAGGTGCGTGTATCAGAATCACCTGCAGGGCTCGTCCATCACAGGCTGCTGGGCCCTGCCTCAGAACTTCTGACTCCTTAGTTCTGGGCTTGGACCTGAGGATGTTTCCATTTTACTTATTTATTTATATTGTTTTGAGACACAGTCTCATTCCAGTTGCCAAGGCGGGAGTGCAGTGACATAATCTTGGCTCACTGCAGTTGTGACTTCTTGGCTCAGGTGATTCGCCCACCTCAGCCTCCCAAGTAGCTGGGATGCACCACTACGCCCAGCTAGTTTTTTGGGTTTTTGTGTGTGTGTTTGTGTGTGTGTGTGTGTGTGTGTGTGTGTGTGTGTGTGTAGAGATGGGGTTTTACAGATGTGAGCCATCGCACCTGGCCCAGGATGTTTGTATTTCTTTCTTTCTTTCTTTCTTTTTTGAGACAAAGTCTCACTGTCACCCAGGCTGGAGTGTGGTGGCGCGATCTCAGCTCACTGCAATCTCCACCTCCCCGGTTCAAGTGATTATCCTGCCTCAGCCTCCTGAGTAGCTGGGATTACAGGCACACATCACCATGCCCAGCTAATTTTTGTATTTTTAGTACAGATGGGGTTTCACCATGTTTGCCAGGATGATCTCGATCTCCTGATCCCGTGATCCACCTGCCTCAACCTCCCAAAGTGCTGGGATTACAGGCGTGAGCCACTGCGCCCGCCGGATGTATGTCTAACAAGCTCCCAGATGCTGCTGATCGGGAACCCCATTTTAAGAACTAAGTTAGAAGAGGCTCACTGAAGAGGTGGTATCTGAGCTGAGACCTAAAGGATGAACAAGAAATAACTAGGCAATAATTAGCTGGGTTGGGGAGGGCCTCTCCAGGAGTGAGAACAGTATGTCCAAAGGCCCTGGGGAAAAGGGAACGTGAAATATCAGAGGACAAGAAGACAGGCCAGTGTGGCAGAAGCTAAAAGGGGAAAGGAATGGGTAAGCCTTGATCCTAGCAGCAGTGAAGAGCCACCGAGCATTTCAAGTGTCTACAGACTGGCTAGGGAGGCGATCAGATATACTTTCAGCAGGTTCTCTGGTTTGCTGTTCAGGAAACAGAACCCTGTGGCTGCAAGAAGGTGTGGGGAAACACTGACTGATGCTAATGCAGTCACCCAGGTGACAGACAGGGCAGCAGAGAAGATAGAGAGATGATGATAGATTCAAGAGGAATGTAGAAGGAAAACTCAGTGATATTTGGTGATAGACCCTGGAGGGGTGAAGCACTGTGTCCCACTTATCTATTGCTGCACAACGAACCACCCCAAACGTAGCAGCTTAAAACAATCATCAGCCAGGTGCGGTGGCTTGTGCCTGTAATCCCAGCACTTTGGGAGGCTGAGGCAGGCAGATCACCTGAGGTCTAGAGTTTGAGACCAGCCTGACCAACATGGAGAAACCCCTTTTCTACTAAAAATACAAAATTAGACGGGTGTGGTGGAGTATGCTTGTAATCCGAGCTACTTGGGAGGCTGAGGCAGGAGAATTGCTTGAACCTGGGAGGTGGAGGTTGTGGTGAGCTGAGATCGCGCCACTGTACTCCAGCCTGGGCAACAAGAGTGAAACACCATCTCAAAACAAACAAACATGCAAAAAACAATAATCATTTTTTATGCTCACAAGTCTGCAGCATGTGCAGTGCTCAGTAAGACAGCCCAGTTCTGCTCCAGAGGGAGGTTAGCTAGGGTGGCTCACAGGTTGAGGCTGGAGTCATCTGGTCACTCATGCGTGGGGCAGCTGATGCCAGCTGTCAGCTGGTGCCTCAGCTGGGGGTGCTGGCCAGGACGGCTCTGCGTGGTATCTCCATGTGGCTGCTTGGCTTCCTCACAGAACAGTGGCTGGGTTCCCAGAGCAGGCATCCCAAGAGACAGGAAGCAGAAGCTGCCAGTTTCTTAAGGCCTGGGCCTGAAACCTGGCACCACATCAGACCCACCATATTCTGTTAGAGTCACAGGCCCAGATTCAAGGGAGGGACATACTACCACCTCTCAATGGGAGGAGCATTGAAGAAATTTGGACAGAGGGAGCACTGGAGGAGAACCAGGCTGGGAAGAGATCACAAATCTAGATTTGCTGTTGTTGTTGTTGTTGTTTTGGGACAAGGTTTGCTCTGTTGCCCAAGACAGAGTGTAGTCGTACGGTCATAGCTCACTACAGCCTCAAACTCTTGGCCTCATTCTCCCTCCTCAGCCTCCCAAGGAACTGGGATTACAGGTGCACACTACCATGCCTGGCTGATTTTTAATTAAAAAAAAATAGAGATAGGGCCTCAATATGTGGCCCAGACTGGTCTCAAATCAGCCTGGAAGGGTTCAAGTGATTCTCCTGCCTTTGCTTCCCAAAGTGCTGGGATTATAGGTGTGAGCCAGTGTGCCAGCCAGGAATCTAGAACTGATGAAGAAAAAGGAAGAAAGGGCTCTCCCCTAGTACCATGCATGGTCTTAGCTACCTTACAGTTGTGGCCCAGAGCCTAGCATGTAATGACCCTCCCAGCCACAGCACCACTGCACCCCTTTCCACCACCTTCCACAGCTTCCAGCCTGGGAAGCCCCTGGAGTCTTGGATTGAGGTGACTAAGGAGAGATCTTAAGAGCAACCCCCTGGCCCTACAGGGGTCCTGGCTCCTCCCCAAGGCCATCCATGTCTGTCAGTGAGGGACATCTTCATGGCGGGATTGAACCAGCAGGGCCCTTGAATCCCAGTCCTCCCATTCTGTTCCTAAAATATCTTGAATCCGCCCACTCCTCTCCCTCCTGACTCCCCTGACCCCAGGGAAGCTGGCTCTGACCTTGGCTGTTGTGTGAGTCTTTCCTGACGCTCCATTTGCTTCCACTCCTGCTTTCCTACAGAAAGTTCTCCAGGTTCCTCGGGGGGATCATTTAAAATAATAATCTGGTCTGAGTGCAGTGGCTCACAGCTGTAATCCCAGCACTTTGGTAGGCCAAGTCGATGGATCACCTGAGGTCAGGAGTTCAAGACCAGCCTGGCCCGCAGGGTGAAACCCCGTCTCTACTAAAAATACAAAAATTGTCTGAGTGTGGTGGTGGGTGCCTATAATCCCATCTACTCAAGAGGCTGAGGCAGGAGAATTGCTTGAACCCGGGAGGCAGAGGCTGAAGTGAACCGAGATCGCACCACTGCACTCCAGCCTGGGTGACTCCATCTCAAAATAAATAAATAATAATAACAAAATATTAATCTGATCACATAACTTCTCTGTTTTAAACCCTTCCAGGACACCCAGGATGTGATCCAAAGTTTCGATCCTGGGCTTGCAAGTTCATGGGTGACTCAGCCTCCCGTTCCCTGAGCACATGGAGTCTCCAAAAGGCCAGATTTGTTCCTGCCTCAGGGCCTTTGCACTTGCAGTCTCCTCTGCAACTTTTTACAGAGTTTCTCCTTGTCCTTCAGGGCTTGGCTCACATGTCACCTTCTCAAAGAGGCCTTCTCTGACCGACCGCTACCCTATCTAGGGAAGAACACTCTCCCCCATACACTCTAACTCATCACCCTGTTCTATTTCTTTCTTAGTGCTTAACGCTACTTATTCATTTATTCATTCAAAAAATAATGACCTACCAATTACTTTGTGCCACGCACTGTTTTAGGCTCTGGAGAGCACAGCTGTGAACAAATTGGATGATTTCTCCTCTTTGCATCAAAAGCCCTAAGACTAAACCCTGGGACTTCTCTGTTCTGTCAGTACCTGCTGTTTCATGCCCCCATCCAGTAATGGGCACTAAATGTCATTTAGACGGTGATATGGTTAGCCGCCACCAGAAATCCAGAAGAGCACATCCAACTGCCTGCCTGACAGCTCCATCTGGGTATCTAATGTGCATCTCAGAGTTACCATGTCCAAAGCTGAATTCCCGACACCTCCTCTGCCCCCCTCCAGACTTGCTCTTCCCATCATCTTCTCCACCCTTCCAATTGCTCAGCCAAAAACGTTGGAATGGTCCTGGAGTCCTGTCTTTCTCACCTGTTAGCACACGCCATCGTCAGTTCTCCCTTCAAAACACCCAGGACCCAACCACTTCTCTTGGTCTCCATTGCCACCACTCCAGACCACATGACAGTCATCCTGCCTGTGTGATGGTGACAGTCTCTGGATTGGTCCCCAGCTTCCACCCTTGCCCAAGAACAGTCCACTCCCTACTCCCTCCATAGTAGCCATTAAAGTGAAAGCTGGATCACTCCCTCCTCTGTTCATAGCACAAGAGCTCACAAGGCCAGCATCCCTCCAGGCCTCTTCTCTCTCACTCTGCTGCGGCCACAGCGGTCTTCAGTCATGTGGATCACACAGATCAGAAGTGCCAGGCACCTCCTGCCTTAGAACTTCAGAGACTGTCCCCTCACTTCCTAACCTCTCTCAGGGGAGTGTTCAACCCCTCAGCCCCAGTGCGGCAATTCCTATGCTTCCCCTCCTTCACTGCCCCCAGCATTTGCCACCTCCTGACACACCATCTATTTTACTGATTTATTTTACTCATCACTTGCCTTCCTCTACTAGAACAGGAGGTCCCCAAGGCCTTTTTTTTTTTTTTTTTTTTTTTTTTTTTTTTTTTTTTTTTTTTT